GTAACGATAATGAAAATGGTAATACTGCTTACCAAGAGAAAGAATACAGGGGAAGGCTATGGTTTAGGAAAAAGATAATACAATAATTCCATTTTGGACATATTGCCTTTGAGGTGTGGCTTTTGTTAGTTGCCATCAAGTCAGCCCCAGATTCATGGCGACCCCACGTACAAGGAAATGAAACGCAACCCAGTTGTGCACCATCCTCATGATCGGTTGTGGATCCAACCATTGTGGTCCATATGTTTTCATTAGCTGATTTTCAGAAGTAGGTTGCCAGGCCTTTCTTCCTAGTCTGTCTCAGTCTGGAAGCTCTGCTGAAACCTGTTCAGCATCGTAGCAACACACAAGCCTCCAATGACATGTGTATATACACACATATACATATTTTAGATATCATGCATTCACACTGATACCTCCAATCCCAATCCATCCCCACGGGGTTTTTTTCTCATCTCCCTCCATTAAATATTTATATGTCTCTTCTTCGGCAGTGAGAACCCTGGTTCCCAGCAACATCAACACATTCATTCATTTACTCAATCTTATAATGCACCTAAAATAGTTTCAGAACCGATGTGCCAATACCACCACATAAACAATTCTGAAGAATTCAGAATTCATTTGCCGTTGTCCCCTGCTCCTGTTCCACTACAGCCTAGATTCTTAACCGTCAACTCCCAAGGTTGCTTGCTAGCAAGAAGGCAGAAGCAGAGAGGGAGCAGGGGACTTGAGGGAGCTTCAGCTTCAGAAGTGGAAAAAAAATTTCTGAGGCTTAAGAAGATAAATGTGCGGTGGCCACACTTCACTCAATGGCATGATTTCCTGCAGCCATCTTGGCAGTCTGGGTGTGAGAGGAGAGAAGACAGATGGTTGGGATAGCTGGGCTGATCCAAAGTTGAGGAACTAGCAGGTGGATGTGGCAGAGGACAGAGGGTGAGGACACTGGGGTGCTGGCAAGAGAGTAGTTGACGTCATGAATCCTGGAGTCTGGGCTGAATGGGGGAGGAAGTGAGGCCAAGAGGAAGGAAAGAGAGTGACTGGAGCTTGCCCAGTGCTGAGAAGAGTTTTACCGAAGTGATCTCTGGTCACTGAACCGAAGGATCTAGGAATAGCCACTAAAGGGGGCTGTGAAGAGAGATGGCGTATACTAAATGTGGTTGGCAGCAGGATGGGAAGGGCTGTACTTGCAAAAATCAAAGACGCCTTTTCTCCCCAAGGACCAGAGACTGAGTGAGAAAAGACCCATCTGGCCCAGGCCAAAGAGGAAAGCTGTTTAAGGCACATTACTGCAATGTACCGTCAACAGCTGAGGAAGTAGTGTTCACATGAGTGCAATTCCACAAAAAGGAAGGGAACTTAGAGATCATTTCACCTGGACAGTTATTTTTAAGGTGAGGAAATGAAGGCCCAGAGCAGCTAAGCAACTGCCCCCCAGCCAGGATGGGACTCAAATGGAGGTGTTTTAAATTCCAAGTTAGTGGCTCGTTCTACCCTACAATGCTCTGAAGCCAGCAGAATGTCTCACTGACTGGTTTGTTTTCTAATTATTCCATGTAAACTAGTCTCTGTTCTCCATCTGGTTAAGCACAGGGGCAAGAATGGAGTCTTAGACGTCACTGCCTTATCCACAGTTTCTAAGTCAGTCACTGCTCAATGCATTGTTTTTGCTTTCTTTTCTTTTTTTGGAGCGGGATGGGTAGGTATCAAATCACTTTATTTGAAGGAGCAGTACAAAGGAAGGAACTTAAGTGGATGTTCTGGCATAACCTATAGAAAAGGTAAAGGTAAATCCAACGTGCATGCACTGTCTTGGTAACTACAGAAGTCACCCTAGTGGTTATCGGGAAGCCAGGCTAAAGCTTAGCTCTCCTGATCACTGTCTCCCAGGTGTGCTTGTCAATGAGGTATTCTGCCAGGCCAGCTCTGGTGCAAGATGGTGACGTATCACCCAATTCTTTGATGGATTTCACCTGCTCATTCAGGCAATGAGGCTCAATGAAGTCACACAAGTGGGTGGCGTTTAGTCAGTGGCCAGTTTGTGTAGTTCCAGTAATGACTGATTTGCACTTTTTCCAAGTGTAGGTGATCTACTTCTGAAAGATCACAGCCATCGAAAGCCCTGTGGAACACAGTTCTGAAACACATGGGTTCCCATGAGTCAAAGATCGACTCCACAGCAACTAGTAGTCAACAATCCACTGCATTCAGCCTGCTCTCCCAGTCATTGTGGTCTGATTTCTTGATATTCTGAAGGAAGATCTGGCCACTCCTTGGTTCTGCACCTTTGTCAGTTTCTCAGCATGTTCCTTCTCCTTATGAAACTGGTGAAGAAAATACCTGGCAAAATTCTTCAAAGCCATCCTCGTGGTCAAAGTAAGAAAGACATGGACAACGGGTAGATGTAGGAGGCTTAGAGCTCCAGTTGATGGCAGCCTCTGAGTCCTGATTGTAGTTCTGGCATACCTGCAAGGAGGAGGAGGAGAGGTAGCGATGGAGGAGAGTGGGTGGGTGAGGAGGGCCTGGGGCAGTCCAAGGGTGCTGTGAGGAGGTGGCAGAGCGATCATTCTCAGCAGCTGGGGTAAAGGGGGTCCGAGTGCAGGGTTCCCTCCAAGCACTATGGAAGCAGGACACCGTGGTGACTCTCTTGAGGACATCTGGCTTCAACGCATTCTTTTTATAGATGGGTTTTTGGAAACAGCCCATATCATAGGGTAGGAGTGTTAGCAGGGAGTTAAAGAGTTTTCATGTAGCATTCCTTCTTTCTATATTCTTAGGGGATCATTGTTTCTTTTGTCTCTATTGAGTCAGTATTAATCTGGACACGTAGTGTGCACTCGGTCACTAGAACTTAGTCTGTAAACATACTCATTAAAACAATGACCTTCTGAACCTGACTTCACAACGAAGCTTGTTTCTCACAGACCACATGGCTCACCTACAAGTATCCAAGGTGGAACCCACTCAAAGGGAAAGTAAATGTTCAGCTTCTTTTCAGTTGATCAGGCAGCCTCAGGGTGAACAAAAGGGGATAAAGATGTTGCACCTTGGCAGGCGTTAAGAGTTTATGCTCCCCAGATATATTCCACTAAGAAATGGACAGAAATGTCACTGGTGGAATTCAGTTCAACTAAACCTAGTCAAGCCAGACAGTTTGTAGTTTAAAGGACACAGTAAGCTTTGTAGCTTCAAGGGCATCCTATGCAGAAGGTGCCAGGCCTCTGTGCTCTAGAAATATTTCTGCTATTCTAGATAACTAAACCGGAACTAGTCTGAGAGCAACCTGGAAACCCAGAATTTAGCAGTTCTGTTTCTGCAAAGCAGAGCCTTCTGAGTGGCATTTTCGTTAATAGCTATGATCGAATTTGATGACAGTATCACTGAAGCCAACAATCAATGGTAATTTCAGTGCGGACAGGTATCCGGTAGATTCCAAAATTCCTGCAACTTTTAATGACAAATAAGAAAAAAACACCTAGCATTTTTGTTTTCAAAGAACCTGTATGTCTATATAGAGCCCCTATGTTTAATCCATCAAAAACGATTTAGAGTAATACTTACTGTTGTCAGTTTACCTGTTTAGATTGTTTGTACCACTTTCAAGAGATGTTGTCTCCTCTCCCAAAACAGGAAAAGTTATGCTTCCACCATGTAGGAACAGTACCTCAGTTATGACCACATGGTCCAAAAAGTAAGGCTTCTTAAAAAAATTTGTTTACCTGAAATCCATATCGAATCTTAAAAAATTACTTCTATTAATGACAATGCATTTAGTTGACAAAGAAAACAAAGTATAAAGTACATTATTTTTTCCTTTTATCACTAATCTTTGTTGACAACTGTTGCATGTAAAGCTGATTTTATTGTCTGACCTGATTAACATGTTATTTTTCTACTTTTCCCGGAATCTGTTCTCACAGTTCACACTTAGTGAATCGAGAAGCTTCAAGTTGTTTCTCTAGCAGCATGAAATTTATTTGTCCTGTTCAGTAGTTAATTACCTTAGCTTGTTGTTTAAAAATTTCTAGCCAGAGTCACCCCTCTCAGCCTCTTGCCAAAAGCAGAACAAGAAATGACAGGCACACTGGCTGCTAGATGCTGCAGCATGAACTCCCTATGGGGCACGTCTTCCTTATCTGAGAAGGAAAACTTGCCTCTCTTTTCTAAAGAAAACAAATATGACTCTTTTCCTAGAAGGGATTTCCAGGACTTCTGTGAGCTGGGCAGGCCCTGAAATTTAACTGTCATGGCTTTTTAGCAGTTATTGGATGTGGAGGCTCACCTGGATTTCATGAGAGTCTCTCCTTTTTGCCCCTTCAACATCTTAGCATCCAAATCACATCTTTTGGAAAGCCGTTTGCTCTCAAGAAGCACATTAAAAAAAAAAGAATCTGATCATGTATTCTCATTTTTGATTAAAAAATATTATCTTACTGGGGTGCATTAACTTTTATAAACTTTCTCCAAAATTACTTGGAGAAAAATGTATTTCTGAACAACTTTCAAACAAGGTTTGCCTTCAGCAGTTTGTAATGATTTGGGGATTTGTTAAGGATATCCTGTTAGGGACAAAAAGTGGGGTTTTGGCTGAGTGCTTTCTAGACAATTAAAATGCTAATAGTTTCAGGATGTGAGAAAGGTGTGGAACAGGGGAAGGTCACTTGCAAACTCCCTATGTAAGAGCTTGGGTAGATATTATTCCCCTTAAAAAGACTCATACAGTATAGGGCAGGGGGTATGTGGGAACTCTCTGTACTATCTGCTCAATTTCTCTGTAAATCTAAAACTATTCTAAGAATAAAGTCTACTTGTTAAAAAAAAAAAAAAGATTCACACAGTGGGACTGGAATAACATTGGTGGCGTAGTGGTTAAGAGCTACGTCTGCTAACCAAAAGGTTGGCAGTTCGAATTCACCAGGCGCTCCCTGGAAACTCTATGGGGCAGTTCTACTCTGTCCTACAGCGTCGCTGTGAGTCAGAATCGACTCGATGGCAATAGGTTTTTTTTTTTTTTTTTAATGTGGTTCTAACACTAGTCACTCAGGTAAGTGGTGGTGGCTGAAAGAATTTAAAAGTGCTAATGAAAGCATGCTAGCAAACTTTCAATCCAACGTGACAGGAAAAACGTAAAGTCAAAACAGAGGCCTGGCATAGGCTGGGGTGACCTTTAACACGACTCTGGCATGCTGACATGACATGCGGCAGCCAGCAGACTGTGCCAGGTGCTCATGAGAGATTACTGAAAAGGAAAGGCTGATATAAAAAATCTGTTCGCATAAGACTATGCAGTTAACCAATCTAAGGAAACAACTGGTTAGACAGAAAAAATTTTAATCCATGGGTTAAAAAATTCACATAACCATGTTGAACATAATATATACAACATTAAATTCTGGGTACTATGAGAGTTTTCTCTATGTGGGAATACCACACTTTGAGTGAACCTTATATACGACTGTCTGGCTGGTCATTTATCGCTAGAAGGCTTTGACACAAGACTTTTTTATACAGTACACTCCCAGAATATGTTTAAAATAGTTTGATCTTTTGAAATTCATTTGTACATAATTTTAGGGAGAATATCGATTGGTTAAAATGAGGTATATCTGTGCTGTAGTTCAATAAGTACACGCTTGAGTTTCTGATAAAGGAAGCTTTTCTGTACATCATAATAAAATTTCACCTTATGAGAAACTAATTTAATTCATGAGGTATGCATCTTGAGGGCGTGAGCACAGCATAAGCACAAAGGGTAAGGGGACTGCATGATGAACGCGTGACACGGTACACCCCAAACGGATGCAGTTCCCAGTCCTACAGCTCCCGTTACAAAATGTGTCTAACCCAAAACACCCCCCAGGAAGTGCCTGTGTGCATGGCGCAGCCCAGGCCCACCTACGGGTAGGTGTATACGTGCAAGGACGGGTATGTTGGCATGGTGGCACGGCTTCTCTTTGCCACAGGGTATCTGCTCCTGGACCAGTCTGGCTTCATACCTGGAGCTGGCTCTTGGCTGGTGTTTGTGTTTCTCTTTGGAGAGCAGGATACTGTAAAGGTCAGCTTCTTGCTCTGTGCAAACAAGATATAAAAGTCAAAATTACTTTATGCTGTGATTTCTAAAGTTATAGTTAGGGTTGAGACTAGTTTTGCCATGAGTTAGTGCATTTTCCCCCAAATACCAAAGTAGCCCACATAATCAATAACAGTGCAGAGATGAATTGAGCATTTGTCCTGGTCCCTCAGATAGCCAAAGAAAGGTTCATGGACAGCATTTTAATTGCCCTGAAGAGTTGAAGGCCTGCATTTTATAAGCTGTCTAGAAACATTACACAAACAAAGAGAACTTGACTGATCAAGGTGGGAGACGGCCCATTTTTCCAACTCTGCTTATCTGACATGCCATGGAAGTTAAATGCCCACATCTCTGTTAGCGAGACATCACACTAGAAATTTTAAGAAAATAAAGGCAAAGGTTTGGATAGTATTCATCCACTACACTGTATTTAAGTTAATTCATGGTTACATGTTACTGCTTAACTAGAATGTTTCAGTTTGTGGGGTATGGTTTTAGACACCCGTAGACTTCTTGCAATGGATGCTGAGTGGACAAAGGACAAGTTCCTCATTTATCAGTCTGTGAGGACAGAAACCCTTTGCATTGACTTTATTTAAACCTCTCTTTTCATTGCTCTTCAGTTTCAGTTACACCATGGTGATCTATTTATCTTGCCACCCCTCCTAGAGGATCCTTGCCTTAAGAGCAGGGACCATGTCTTTACATCCTCAAAAGGCCCGGCACATAGTAGGTTCTCCATAAGATGTTGTTGTTTTTAGTTGCCATTGAGTCAGCTCCAATGCATGGTGACCCCATGTATAACAGAATGAAACTTTGCCCAGTCCTGTGCCAATAAGATGTTGTTGTTAGGTGCCATTGAGTCGCTTGCAACTCATAGTGACCCTATGTACAACAGAGTGAAACACTGCCTGGTCCTGTGCTATCCTCATGACGGTTGTTATATCTGAGCCCATTGTTGCAGCCACTGTATCAATTCATCTCGTTGAGGGTCTTCCTCTTTCTCGCTGACCTGCTACACTTAACCAAGCATGATGTCCTTCCTCCTCCAGGGACTGATCCCTCCTGAGAACATGTCCAAAGCAAGTGAGACAAAGTCTCGCCATCCTTGCTTCTAAGGAACATTCTGGTTGTACTTCTTCCAAGACAGATTTGTTTGTTCTTCTGGTAATCCATGTTTTATTCAACAGTCTTCACCAACACCATAATTCAAAGGTATTCATTCTTCTTCGGTCTTCGTTATTCATTGTCCAGCTTTCCAGTACATATGAGGCAATTGAAAATACCACACCTTGGGTCAGGCACATTTTAGTCCTCAAGGTGACATCTTGTTTTTGAATTCTCGAAAGAGGTCTTTCGCAGATTTGCCCAATGCAATACGTCGTTTGATTGCTTGACTGCTGCTTCCATGGGCATTGATTGTGGATCCAAGTAAAATGAAATCCTTTACAGTCTCATTCTTTTCTCCATATCATGATGTTGTTTATTGGTCCAGTTGTGAGGATTTTTGTTTTCTTTATGTTGATGTGTAATCCATACTGAAGGCTGTAGTCTTTGATCTTCATCAGTAAGTGCTTCAAGTCCTCTACACTTTAAGCAAGCAAAGTTGTGTCATCTGCATATCACAGGTTGTTAACGAGCCTTCCTCTAATTTTGATGCTCCGTTCTTCATACAGTCCAGCTTCTCCGATTATTTGCTCAGCGTACAGATTGAATAACTATGGTGAAAGGATACAACTTTGATGCACACCTTTCCTGATTTTAAACCATGCAGTATCCCCCTGTTCTATTCAAATGACTGCCTCTTGATCTATGTACAGGTTCCACATGAGCACAACTAAGTGTTCTGGAATTCCCATTCTTCGCAATGTTATCTGTAATTTGTTACGATCCATACAGTCGAATGCCTTTGAGTAGTCAACAAAACACAGGTAAACATCTTTCCCACTCATGGCAACCCAATGTGTGTCACAGTAGAACTGTGCTCCATGAGGTTTTCAATGGCTGTGATCTTTTCAGAAGTAGATTACAAGGCCTTTTTTCTGAGGTGTCTCTGAGTGGGTTTGAAACACCAACCTTTTGGTTAGTAGCTGAGCACTTGACTGTGTGCACCACCCAGGGACTCCTGCCAATAAGATATCAATGGGTAAATGACTGCATCACTCTGAGAAGTCCCAAGCCAGGGACTTGGGAAGACAGCAGGGACTTCACCTTGGGAGAACTGTCCATTCTCTTTCTAGTACACCTGCATTAATCCAGTGGTTCTCAACCTTTGTTCTACCCAGACACATGTGAGCAGCACATTCCCATAGAGGAACCAGGGCTATTCGAAATGACAGCTTACTAGCTGATTCTCCACCTCTTTTTCCTCCCACTCAGGAAAAAACATGCAAGTGCAAATGAATAAGATGTTATCATAGGGATAAGTATGAATTCATTCTCACTTATTCTTTTTAAAAAGAAAATCATTCACAAAGCTTGGTACTGAATGATCACTGGTGACACTGGACACGAGGCAGCCCTCACAACTGATGATGACACCCCGTGTCTTGTTAACATCTCCCACAGTTGAGAACCTTGGTGTTAATTACCGATTTACCTGAAATGTTGCTATGTAGGTACAAAATGATGGCTGCCTAACAAATGTTTGTGGAAATGAAAGTCTTGATGGAAAATTCTGAGTGAGCTTCCTCTGGTTCCTTGTGGGTGGGGTCCCAGAGTGGTCAGGTGATTTGTGGCCTGAAAGTGCAAACTACCTTGAATGTTCACCTGAGCAGAACAAATCTGAGAAGGCAGACTGTGTGGATCATCACACCTCCAAATCACTGAATGCACTGGAAAAGTAAATAAAATTGCTGGCATATATGTATATATTTTAAGTGAAATACCTGCAGTCTCTCCTTATTCTTAGTCAGAATTATGGTGGTCATTTTTGATGGATCCAGGGAGGTACCTTTCTCTCTTGCACTTAACCGTGTCTAAAAGTAAATGAGCAAATTCTCACTAAATTTTCCACTTGAACAAGTTGTGATTATATTGAACATACATTATTTGTGTGATTTTTATTCATGTGTGTTGATTCATTATGATACTCTGGCATGAAACGAGAGGCAGGACACAAACTAATAATCCAATCAAAAGAAAGAAAGAAAACTAACATTTATTGAGTATTTACCATATGCCATGGAGTCCCAGAGTGGTGCAAATAGTAAATGCACTTGGCTGCTAACCAAAGGCTTGGTGGTTTGAGTCTACCCATAGGTACCTCAGAAGAAAGTCCTGGTGATCTACTTCCAAAAAATCAACCATTGAAAACCCTATGGAGCACAGTTCTACTCTGACACACATGGGGTCATCGTGAATTGGAATTGACTGGATGTCAACTGGTTAACTATATGCCAGGCACTCTACACACATTTTCTCATCTAATCCTCACAACAACCTTCTGATTTAGATCTTATTATTCCTATTTTTCTAAACCACACCACCACGTGTCTATCAGTTTGTTGTACTGTGGTGGCTGTCGGTGACAGGATAATATTTACATGCCTACAAGGAAGACCCGTTAATATGACTATTATCCAAATTTACACACTAACCACTAAGGCCAAAGATGAAGAATTTGAAGACTTCTACCAACTTCTGTAGTATGAAACTGATCAAACATGCAATCAGGATGCATTGATAATTACTGATGATTGGAATGCAAAGGTTGGAAACAAAGAAGAAGGATCAATAGTTGGAAAATATGGTCTTGGTGATAGAAACTATGCTGGAGATTGCATGATAGAATTTCCCAAGACCAGTGACTTCTTCATTGCAGATATCTTTTTTTAACAACATAAACAGCGACCATACACGTGGACCTTGCTAGATGGAATACACAGGAATCAAATCGACTGCACCTGTGGAAAGAGACGATGGAGAGGCTCATTATCACCAGTCAGAACAAGGCTAGGCGTGGACTGTGGAAAAGATCATCAATTGCTCATATGCAAGTTCAAGTTGAAGCTGAAGAAAATTAGAGCAAGCCCACCAAGAGCCAAAATACAACCTTGAGTATATCCTATCTGAATTTAGTGACCATCTCAGGAATAGATTTGATGCATTGAACACTAATGACCGAAGACCAGACAAGTTGTGGAATGACATCAAGGCCATCATACATGAAGAAAGCAAGAGGTCATTAAAAAAAAAAAAAAGACAAGAAAGAAAAAAGACCAAAATGGATGTCAAAAGAGACTCTGAAACTTACTCTTGAACGTAGAGTAGCTAAAGCGAATGGAAGAAATGAAGTAGAAAAGCTGAACAGAAGATTTCAAAGGGCAGCCCAAGAAGACAAAATAAAGTATTATAATGAAATGTGCAAACACCTGGAGTTAGAAAACCAAAAGAGGAGAACGCACTCAGCATTTCTCAAGCTGAAAGAACTGAAAAAAAAAAAAAAAAAATTTAAGGCTCGAATCACAATATTGAAAGATTCTACAGGGAACAGATCCATATTTACATCTAATCCAAAGAAAGGTGATTCAACTGAATGCAGAAATTATTAAACAATATCATTAACATCACACACAAATAAAATTTTGCTGAAGATCGCTCAAAAGCGGTTGCAGGAGGATGTCTACAGAAAACTGCCAGAAATTCAAGCCAGATTCAGAAGAGGATGTGGAATAAGGGATATTACTGCTGATGTCAGATGGATCTTGGCTGAAAGCAGAGAGTACTAGAAAGCTGTTTACCTGCGTTTTACTGACTATGCAAAGGCATTCAACTGTGTGGATCATAACGAATTATGGATAACACTGCAAAGAATGGGAATTCCACAACACTTAATTTGCTCACAGATCAAGAGGCAGTCGGTTTGCCTGACCCAAGCCATGGTACTTTCAATTGCCTCATATGCATGGGAAAGGTGGATAATGAATAAGGAAGACCAAACAAAAACTGATGCCTTTGAATTATGGTGTTGGAGAAAAATACTGAATATACCAGGGACCACACAAATCTGTCTTTTAAGTACAGCCAGAATGCTCCTTAGAAGCAAGGATGGCGAGACTACATCTCACATACTTTGGACATGTTATCAGGAGGGATCAGTCCCTGGAGACGGACATCATGTTTGGTAAAGAAGAGGGTCATCGAAAAAGAGGAAGACACTCAATGAGATGGACTGACATACTGGCTGCAACAATGGGCTCAAGCATAACAACGATTGTGAGGATGGTGCAGGACCAGGCAGCGTTTCATTCTATTGTACACAGGGTTGCTACGAGTCGGAACTGACTTGACGGCACCTAACAACAAAAACAACATGTGGAAAATACTGAATGAAGCAGAAAGCATCAAAATAAGATAGAAGGAATATACGAGTCACTCTGCCAAAAAGAACTGATTGTCATTTAACCATTTCAGGAGGTAGCTTATCATCAAGAACTGATGTTCCTGAAGGAAAAGTCCAAGCTGCACTTGAAGGCACTGGCAAAAAACGAGGCTCCAGGAATTGATGCAATACCAATTGAGATGTTTCAACGAACTAATAGAGGTGCTCACTCATCTATGTCAAGATATCTGGAGGACAGCAGCCTAGCCAACTGACTAAGAAGTATCCTTATCTGTGCCCATTCCAAAGAAAGGTAACCCAACCAAATGCAGAAATTATCTAACAATATCATTAATATCACATGCAAATAAAATTATGCTGAAAATCATTCAAAAGCAGTTGCGGCAGTACACGAACAGCAACTGCTAGAAAGTCAAGCCAGATTCAGAAGAGGAAGTGAAACAAGGGATATCATTGCTGATGTCAGATGGATCTTGGCTGAAAGCAGAGAAGACAAGAAAGATGTTTTCTGTACTTTACTGAGGTTAGAAAGGCATTAGACTGTATGGGTCATAACAAATCATGGATAACACTGTGAAGAATGGGAATTCCAGAACACTTAATTGTGCTCATGCGGAACATGTACATAGACCAAGA